ATATATTATTAAATACTTATTAATGATATTTTATTGATAACATTTGTACAAATAAATTAATTCTGAATGGAAACAAACAACAACAAATAAAATTTCAAGTTACTATTACATTTAGTAAAAACAATAAAACAATACTATATTTAATCGAATTGACCAACAAATAACTTTTTTTTTTCAATAAATTTTTATAAATAGAATTACATTTATTGATTGACAAATCAAAAAAATTAAATTGAATTGTAATTGGATCTATATTTAGTAGTAAAAATAATTCGAAGATCAAAAAAATAAAAGAAAACAAAGATCGTTTAATTTACAAAATTGTTAATTTTTACTTGAAGAAGGGTTGTTTTTTTAAACAAAAAAAATTGTTAATTTTTAAGTTTAGCGCACAATGTCAAAAACATAAATAAAACCAAAGATAATTGGTATGATAAAAAGATCTAATTTAAAAGGGGTGGTTATTATATAATTTGGCATTATTGTTTTCTTTTACATAACTTTAATAAAATTAGTTGGTTATTAAATAAAAAAAGATACAATTTAATAAGTGTCTATTTTAAAAATACAAATAAAAAATTTATGTATTTAAAAAGCAGCCAAAACTATTAAAAATCAAATGAAAACACTTCTTTTCTTCTTAGTTGTATCAGTCTCTCTTGCTCAGATTGATTATGCTGTTGGTACTGATGTTACCAATTGTCCGCATTATTATGTATTTAAAATGTATCATCTTGGCCAGTGCAAAGAAAACAAAGGAGGGTCCATTGTGAATAATTTAATGGCTGGTACATCCAATATTATTAAAGAAAAACAGTATAATAACAACAACTGTTCTGGGACACCAAGATCTGAACATGTTTGGTTAACAACCGAATCAAAGTACCCATTCAATTACAAAGACTACAACTTTGTCGCATTTAGAGGCGACGAAGAAACCAATTGCAGATTGGACGACACAATCGACGGCCTTTTCTACACAGACAAATGCGAGTCAGACGTTAACTGGGTCCAATGGAAAGTTCACGAAGAAAATGGTCGTTTCTATTTAAAGAAAAGTCTGAACACAGACAATTCGTGCAAACAAACACCACAAACAGTCTTTAAATACAGTTATGAATGCAACAAATGTGGAAGTGATGGAAGACTTACAAAGTGCTATGGAATTGGTAAAGTCAAGCCTTTCTCAGACTTCACGTTGAGAGGACCCGAAGACACTTTGGGAGAACACTCTGAAAGCAGTGGAGAAGAAAGTCACAACCAAGATGGTGTTGAACTTATCAAAATTGTTTTAGTGTTCATGATGGTGGTAATGTTCATTTAATTTGATTAATTATTTTTTAAATTGTATGTTTAAATTAAATAAATATTAAAATGACAACACTAATTCATTTTATATTTCAATGTAATGTATTAATTATTAATATATGTCGTATTATATATCAGAAAATATATCTTATTTATAATTAATTGGATATTGATTAAATATATTCTGTTATTACAGCAACCAACATTGATAAAAATATTTATTACATTATTTTAACAAAATATTTTATATAACAATAAACAATGATATTATGTTGGTAAATTTAAATTTGAATTATTATTCAAAATATTTGTATCAATTAACACTTTAAATAACATTGAACAAAATTCAAGTGGTCTAAAAATCGGGGAAATATCAAGTTTATTAAATAAATTTCCGTTTTTTTATAGTTTATTTTATGTGCATAAACAATACACAAGCCAAAAAAGGAAAATCATCAATAATTTGATTAATATCCCTGTAAAAACAGGCCAAAACGAAAATAAGGGCGTTATTTTAAGTGTTAAAAGGTCAACATTTGTAATTTTATTAACTGGAAAGATGTCGATTAATAAAGGTGAATGCTAAAAAAATTAGATTATTTAAAAACATTGTTATTTTTTCATAATAAAACCACAAAAAATGTAAAGACTTGTAGTTGTAACAAAACATCATTTTTAAGTATTACATATGTGGTACTAAAATTTCAACTTATAATTAATATTTGTTATACCATTGTAAAAACTAAATATAAAAAGTTGTATTTGAATTATGTTTTAAAAATAAATAAGTAAACTTGTTCAATATTATTCAAATATTATTTAAACAGTAAGTTGTAACCTTAATACTTGTCGAAACTTTAGTCCCACATCTGTAAAAATTGTATTACAAATTGTTTTTTTAATTATCAGAAACATAAAAAAAATTATAAAATTGATTTAACACTTTCACAACCCAAAACTTTTTTTTAAGAAGAAAAATAAGTAAAAAAGGAATTGTCCAAATCATTTTTTATTATTTTTATTCAAAAACCCCTTTCTAACACAAACCGGCCAATAGTCAGTTTTATTTTACTTAAAATAATTAACAAATGATAACTCAATTACCTAAGATTGGTCAAAAATAATCTTTTTGGATGAAATTTCATATCGCTTTATTGTGTTACAACATTAAAACAAAAAACGCTACATCGTCAATCCACTTAATGACAAACAATGTCAAATAGTCACATTAACAAATATAACGACAATATAAACACCAATATCGTTATAATCAAATGACAATATTCTCTTTATAAAAAAACAACCAAAAATATCAAACCATCATTAGACCCCATCTTTCTTTTTTAAGCTTTGCTCTTGTTTAACACAAACAAACTCATTCATGTTTATTTGTGTGACTATAAAATATACAATTCAAATTTAAGTTGATAAAAAAAATAAAAAAATTTCAAAAACTTGTTTTGTGTATGAAGGCAAAAAAAGGGTTTAGGTAAAAGAAAAAAATAAAAACTTATTATTATTACGTTTCGGTTTTGAACGTGTTAAACCATTAAAATTGAATTTAACCTTTTTATTTTATTGCAATATCAAATGTTTTATGTCTTTCCAAAAACTCGTCGACGAGCGCCTGTGTAAACGTGTTTTTATTTTCTTGATAATACTTATGAGCAATCGCATCTTCTCTCAAGCTTATATAATCCCTCACCATATTTAACAAACAATTTCCCATGTGATTACGACCATAATTTTTGCAGATGATTGGTTGTTGTTTTTCTTCATTTTCTGAACAGTGAATTTCACTTTCTTCCACTTCATGATGTGCGTACAAAAAGTGTGCGAGTATTCTCGAAAGTCGATTAAAAATGTTTTTATAAGTTTTTAAATATCCTTTGGGTGGTTTCTCTTCCCCATCAAAAGGAAATAATTCGGGAATGTTAAGAGTCTCGAACGCCCATATGAGTGTTTTAATCATGTATTCGCGTGCTGGCATTGATATAACTTTCCCATCCGATTCCCAAAGACATTCAACAGCGCCAATATCCATTTTTGTACACTTACTTGGGTCGCAGAGATGGCCATATTCATAGAGCATGTCAAGACCATCATTTAAAAACATCCCAAATTTATATCCAATCGCTTCATATTTCCCCATTTCTAAAACACTCTTTAAACGAAAGTTGTATTGCGGTTTGCGTTTGATTATTGGGTTCTGTCGATTGGGGCCATGCTTTATTTTTATTTTGACTTTTCCAACTTCGGGAAGTGGAAAATAAGAACATTTACTCATGAGATCACAAACCCATGGGGGCGCTTCCATCGTGTTTTTTTCAGTTTTTATTTTTTATTTTTTTGAGAGATAATTGGTTCGATTTTTTTAAAGGCGAAAGAGATTTAAGTTGAATTCTTTTATTCAAAAATTTATAAACTTTAATATATATACAGTGCTCATTGGTTTCAAATTGATAATATTTTTTAATAAATCGATTATGTTTTTATATTTATCGACAGTATTTTTTATGGTTTATATTGTATTTAATGAATTATATTACTTTTAATGAAATAGACTGTGTTTTTTATAAATTATATAGCATTTGATGAAATAGACTGTGTTTTTTATAAATTATATTACTTTTAATGAAAGTGGTTATATTTGTTATAAATTATATGGCATTTTTCTAATTTATACAACATTTTTAGTAAAATCAATAGTTTTTTTCTAAAATATATAGGATTTTTGATAACTTATATAACTTTTGTTTGAAAATATTTTGCTTTTTTTTACAAATTATTGGATATTCCCGAATATTAGGAATAAAAATACACATAATAAGCAAGTTATTATTTGTTAAAAATACTTAATATGTAACTATATTTATACTATTATATAACTAAATTTTAATCTATTCTTATTGTTTATTTTAATACAAATTTTTACAATTATGATACATGATAAAAATAATTAATTTATAATATAACTTTATAAATAATTATTACAAATATTCTATTATTGAATATATAATTATATATATTATATATTATATATATCATTATAATAGACTAATAAATGAACTATATTAACCATACATTGTTTAAAAACATTTGATTAAATATTTTCTTGGTTATACACTCGAGGCCACACAATTTCCCTAACATTTTCAAAACAACTTTGGCACTCTTCTGGTTTAATAGTTAAAAAACCATCTCTGATTTTTTCAAGAAAATTTTCGATGCCATTCCAAGTTCTCACATTTTTTTCAACCCTGCTTTTCCAGATCCCAAATATATTTTCAATTGGGTTTAGTGCTGGTGAGTACGCAGCATTAAATACGACAGTGTGGTTTGTATTATCTAGCATTCTTCTCATAGTGTTGTGAATATCACAATTATCCACCCAAAAAACGCATTGTCTTTGTTTTATATCATACTCATGAATTAGGTACCGGAAGTAGTCTTCGAACGAATTTAATGTGTTTGTTCCACAAACCACATTGCAATAAGAGAGTCCGTCACAATCAACTGCGCATATGGAGGTGAGGCGAAGACCACCTTTTGATTTTGTGATGAAGGCTTCCTTCCCTCTAACTGACCAGCCATATGCAGGAGTGATGCTACAGTCCAACTGGTTTCATCTATACAAACCCAACGTGCTCCACTATTATATAACCCTTAGAGCGTTTACTGCTGCAATTCTTTTTCTTTATTATCTGGCGTGTTGCTTGTTGGCCCTCTTGTCTTTGTTCTTTTGAAAGAAAAAATAGGGACTTCTCTCTCTTCACCTGTTGCTGTTTTACCAGTCATGAAATTTCCAATTGATGATATCGAAGGTGCATAAAGATCAATGTCCTCTTTAGTAACAGCAACCTTGGATATTTTTGGAATATCCAAAATTATTTCATCAACATCTTCTTCTTCGCGTAATTTTTCTTCTTGTGCTATCATTTTTCTAATTGAAGTTATTTTTGTTGTTGTGTCTTCTTTAATAGCTTTTTCTACCAATTTTTGAAAAGGTAAAGTACGGCTTTGTCTTCTATAATGATTTTTTGGATATATTGATATCCCTTTTCTTAACATTGAAAGATACTTTTCAATGTTTATTTTTTTAATCCCAATTATTTCTGAATATCGTGAAGCATTCATGTTATCACCATTTTTACTCCATAGTTCAACCAAAGAATCTCTTTGATCAATTGTAACACGAGAATAAGGTCGTGTATTTATTTTCTTCTTTTTTGAATCCAATTTTCGGGGCCGACCCCGTGATCTTTTTTGAAGAGGTGGGATATCTTGATGGGGCAACATTACAGGTTGTACAGGTTGCCCTTGCATGGATAATGGTGCATTTTCATGATAGTCGTTTCTTGCTCCTGGATCTTTTCTGTCGATATAATCCAATTGCATGATATCATTTTTTGCCCGTTATTTAAATATACATAATTATGTTAAAAAAATATCCTCATTGTGAAGAGGTTCTAAATAAGAATAGATTAAAATTTAGTTATATAATAGTATAAATATAGTTACATATTAAGTATTTTTAACAAATAATAACTTGCTTATTATGTGTATTTTTATTCCTAATATTCGGGAATATCCAATAATTTGTAAAAAAAAGCAAAATATTTTCAAACAAAAGTTATATAAGTTATCAAAAATCCTATATATTTTAGAAAAAAACTATTGATTTTACTAAAAATGTTGTATAAATTAGAAAAATGCCATATAATTTATAACAAATATAACCACTTTCATTAAAAGTAATATAATTTATAAAAAACACAGTCTATTTCATCAAATGCTATATAATTTATAAAAAACACAGTCTATTTCATTAAAAGTAATATAATTCATTAAATACAATATAAACCATAAAAAATACTGTCGATAAATATAAAAACATAATCGATTTATTAAAAAATATTATCAATTTGAAACCAATGAGCACTGTATGTGACTTTTTATTATTTTATCACCAATAAATTTATAAAATAAATAATATATATTTTTATAATTTATTGAAGTTTATTTTTAATTGTTGGTCTTATTAAGTTCTAAAATTGTATTTTTTTGAAATAAAAAATTTGGGCAAATATTATTTTTTAAAAAAATATTATATAAAAATTATAAAGTTAATCTGATATCAAACAATTTTTAAGAAAAAAATAATGTTCGTTATAAAAATGTATCAAAATAGTCCGAATTCATAATACACATTTTTAATTTTGATATTGAATTTACTTTTAACTTTTGAAAAGATATATGATTTTTATAATAATTTAATGATAAATGGATCAAAGTATATATATATTTATTTATAAAATTTATTTTCTTAAGAGTCCCAATAAGTATACTTATTGGGACTCTTAAAAACAAATCACAATATATTGGTAGAATTCATGAACGTTAATTGGATTTATAGTATTTTTTTCAACCAAAATATCATTTTATATAAAAAGTGTTCATCTTTTAGAAGATGGTAATAATAATTTTAATATCTTATATGTACTTATGTGTGAGCTACAAGTCAAAACTAAAAAATGTTTTTAAATATGATATTCTCGTAATTTAGTGTTATCATTTAAAGTTAGTTTAATGTAACATTTACACATTGAAAAGTTACCACATTTTATTTTTTAGGCTGTTTTTTAAACATAAATGGAGCTATAAACAATTAGACTTTATACACCAACTATTGTTGTAAAATTGTAAATAAATATTTAATAAATACTTCCATTTTAATTACATAAACATTGTGGTATTATCGAAATACACACGTTTGCTGTTGTGTGTTGTTATATGTAAAACAATAAAACGACAGTTTAGGGAAATTAATTGTTATTAATATCTCACTCATATGTGATGATCAGTGAAAAGATAAATGATAATTGTGTATATCGAAGTAGTTACACAACGAAATAAATAACAGTTGTTTTTTTTGTTTTTTCTTAGTTTCAACAAAATGTCACATCAATTACACAAAATTTACAATCAATAATCGAGAATAACAATTTCATCAACACTCATTATTCAACTGTAATTTTTATTTGACAATTATATGTGTATTAAAGATCGTGTATATCAGTTAATATTTTATTAGTTGTTTAATCATGTTGATAACTTTGTTTTGTGAATAATTGAAAACACTGTTTTCTAAGGGTAAATTTACCAAACCCAGAGTTATTAAATAAATCGGCCACTGTTTAATAATAATAAAGACAACAAAAATAACTATTCAAATTAAAATTTTCAAAATTTACAATATAAGTAAGATGTTTGTGTAACTCAATTTTAAAAAATAAAATACAAATAGTTTTTTAATTTTTTAATTGTTGTAATTGATAAATAAAAACCATTAAAATACTACATGATTTTTCAATAAATATGTTACTCTTTGTTGATTTTGTTGTTGTTTTTTGGGATACTAACAATAAAATAACTAATAATTAAAATTAATTATCAATATTAATTCAATTAATAATAAGCTGAAAATAGATTATATGATAATTTATAATGTAGAGTTGGGTTAAAATGTTTTCGTAGGCTTTTGGTCGATAATTATTAAAAATGTTGGGATTCCGTTTGAAATCTAAAAATTCATCGTTTCTGTTATTTTTATTTTTAATTTGTATTATTTTATTCGGTATATATTGAACCATTCCTATTATAAATCGATAAAAAGTTCAACATTTTCAATAAAATTCATCACACAAATATATTTGTATTTTATTACTCTAAATATATTTAATTGTTAATATATTCTGTGTATTTATATACAAAACAAAAACATTGTTTCAAATGTTATATTATCTGTCACGTATTTTGATACAAAAATGTTTTAACTTGTATAATATATTTTAATATATATTTTACAAATTACAACTCAAGTATTTATTAAAAACATTAAAAATTCCGTATTCGAATTCAATTTTTGTAATTTTTACTGGGATGTGTTGGTTCATGACAAGTAAAATAATTACATTACATTTCATTTAACATCATATCAACAATATTTTTCTTGGCACTTATACAACAACTATTGAAATTGGTGATTATAATTATTTTTATTATTTTTGACATAATTAAAATAATTTCATTTTTGTTTTTTTGAACGATTTATAATAAAATAAATGTGTGACTCACCCCTTTTATAAATATTTTTATATCAGTTTGGTGTATTATTATTTATAATTAAAAGTATTAGAACAACAGTAATTGTTGTATTTTTTGAAACTGTTTAAATTGCAAAAGAAATGATTTACGACACATATTTCCACAATTTTTGTTTGTAAACAATTTTTATTTATTATTTTTAAAATAAAAATAACAATTCTAATTATTAATTTAAAAATATAAAAAGGAGGTTAAAAAATATATAATTATATTTGAATATAAACTTTTATTGTATAGTTTTTTATTGTTGTAATATTTTACAACTTGTTATGGAAAGTACTAATTCTAATTTTGTTTTCAGAGTTTTCGAATGATTTACTAAACTGTCAATCTCATAAATAAATACTTGGAACTCACAACTTGGAGTTAAATTGGAGTTATCGGAGTTATTTATAATCCCATTTGGCTTTCAAAAACGATTTAAAAACGTGAGAATGATTTAAAACCTCTGGTTAGTTTGTAAGGGTTGTCATTACGACAAAAAATGGGAAATTTTCTTTAAATTGTTTGAAATGAGAATGAAAAAAAAAACAAGTAGTTTATGTAAAACTGAAACAAAACAGTGAATCAGGTTCATTCGTGAATTTTGGATTTTAGTAAGACATAATATTAATAT